CATTTATATAGTGCTCTGTGAACACAAATTAGTTAGCATAAATCAGTTAAATTACGAAAAATTAGGTGTCTATTTACTTGTGACGACTCAGTGTACATCATGTGCAGACAACGCCTAACCATTAGTCTCAGGCACTTGATCAATCAGGTTCGTGACCTGACATGTCTCATGAGTTAATTATTTACCTTTGAGGTATTCTTGGAATTATTCCTCCATGACCGCAGGATAAGTTGACGGACATACCGCCATGTCAAGATATCAACCAGTTTTTTTTTGTTTTTTTTTTGTCAACAGTTCGAAAGCGAGGTACTTTGGAAGATAGTGATCACCGTAATTCAAGGGAAAAAACTGACCTACAACATTTTCGACCGTACTAGAGATGTTTTTTGTTTTTTTATTTATTTTCGTTTTTAAAATTTCTTATCAATTTATGATGACTACGATAATGAGATTGCGTTGTTCGTATACTAACGAGACACTTTTTTTTTAGTTGCTAATGGCTTACATACAATCTATTATTTAACGAGTTACTTATAAGTATAATTATTCTTATTTTATTTATCACTTAATGAGTGCATAATCGTTAATCGACTTTTCTCTCCATCAGATGATTCAAGATATTTTTTCTTTTTCATAACCGCTTGGGCATCTTTCAACTCACTATATTTATCTTCATCTATTAATTTTCGTTAGTTTTTTCTGAATGATTTGTGAATAGGTTCATGCTAGAGTTGCTGGTAAAAATGTTAATATTTTTAGATATTCATTTCTAAATTGTTTTTAAATGCTTGGTAAAAATTATTCGTATACTAACCTTTTAGCTTTGTTCAATGTATTTCCGTTAGATACCAGCTAGTCAGTTATTATTATTATTATTTTGCTTCTATTCTGATATCAAGAACTAGAACCTATAATTAAATGTGAAACCAGAGACTGGCCTTTGTAAGACCTCCTTTGTCATCACTGGCAAATTTTGCATGACAATTCTTATTCCGAGAGCCTTCATCAGAATTATTGTTATTTTCTTTGGAACTATTATCATTCGAAACATCATCATTGGGATCTCCTTGGATTCGTTCTTATTAGAAGCACCATCCTCGTCAAAGATATCTTTTTCATCAGGTTTACCAAAATATCTATTTTGTGGAACTGTTTTCACTTTGAGTGTCATACTCAATGGTATTTCATCCCTTCCATGTATAATTTTTGCACAATTACGTTTCTGCATAAAATTCTTCACACATACTCTGTAATTTGGTTTGATTATATATAAGGTGCTCATTTATTATAACCAATGTCCAATAACTTAACTGAGAGTTAACTTTTACTCATAACATTGATGAACATGAGCATTTCAGTTAGTTATTCATGAGTAGTAGAAGTTACAGTCGTCATATTCATGAGCTTCTCACGTTTATTGTTAATTGCTAATAAATACTCTAAACACTCTGTTTGTTTATTTGGTTACCTGTGCTCTGTTCACCACGGGTATCGAAACCCGGTTTCTAGCGGTGTAAGTCCACACTGTGCTACTGGGGGGCAAATACTCTAAAGTATAAATACTTTGCCTAATGACTACTCGTAAGTAGTGAGGATATATTTCTCATCAATAAAAACATCAAAAATACCAATCAGCATACTACTCAATTTCAAGTTTAAAACTACAATTTCTGACTAACAGGAAACCCTTCCGATAGAAATAGGCTTTTTTTGCTTTTTTTAATAGCTTAAGAATGTTTAACCCTAATTTTCTGTTCGTGAACACAACCTAAAATCATAGTCTATATTGGTTATCAAAAGTTAGGCTTATATTACCGTTCACACTATTCTATCATTGAGATGTTGTTGGTTAACGCTATTGTTGTTCATGTATTAGTTTTAATATCATTCCTAGGATAAAGCATAATTCACTTGAAGTTGCACGTGATCAATAAGTTATTCTTAGCAGTGGGTGTACAAGTTAAATTATGATTGATGAGTACTCGGTGTTAGTTGTTCTTAAACATTATTAGTTACTCAAAAGTAATACGAGTTACATTTATTCATGAGTTGTTCACAACCACTGTTAGATGTTCATAAAATACTCTAAAGCATGAATATTTACTAGAAATATACTCGTAAGTGTTATTGATACATTTATCACTAATAAAAAATACGTGAGATTAATCCTGCAATATTTACCAATTAATCAAAGTTAAGCAATGCCATGTTTTCAATACATTTTATGCTTAAATCATTACGTTTTCATTAAGAGGTAGAAGTAATAACTCCTTACTCTTAACTTACTAGTCACTAACGCAATATTAAATCGTGTGGTTATGCATTTGTTATTAACTTATGAACGCGCGTATTGTAAACAGTAATATCACTGAAGCTAGATATTGAAATAACTATTACTTTGAACATAATAGATTGTTTGAGACTAGGCTTTTATAGTATGTAATGTAGAAGAAAAGTAAACGATAATCTCCTGTGAAAGTTATCGCAATCTTTACTATCACTCAGAATAACAACAGAACTAGTTTGAAACCTTTATTTATTTATAATGAGCTCCTACTCGTCTTCTGTGTAGAGTAAATTCGAATAAGACTGGGTTATGTACACTCCATCCAGTCGTCCCTCACAACCAAGTTTTCCTTAATTGGGTTTTTAAATGGTGAAAGAGGAGGATGCGCTCTTCAGGTCCCGCCAAGACACCTTTGATGGACTGACCTATTTTTCCTCTGACACATACACATAATCATTTCACATCTTCGCTAACAGATGAAATTCCACGTGACCTTTTGGTTTATATTCTACAAAGAAGCTCATGGAAAACCCAGTCTATTTCAAATTTGCTGTACTCGCAAACTAAGTAGGAACTCAGTATAATTGACCAAAGGTCTGCTATTAGTTCTACTGTTATTCTAGTAGAAAGTACAGATTGTGAATACTTAAACTCCAGTTTCATCTAGCCTATCCTACAAAGATTATATTATCATCATGTCGTAGGAAAAAAAAATCATACACGAAATGTTAAAACCCCTTTAATATTTCGGGAATAAGTTATAATGACGAACCGATTACTTACAGAAAAACACAGAAAAAAATCCCACGCATTCTTCTTGCACAGCGGAGACGACGGAGCTGCCTCTGGGCGGCAGCGGTCGATGAATTTAGCAGAAAAGTGGTTTCGTCTACTTTTGACTTTCGTGGCATTGCTGTAAAAGATACATCAAAACCATAACACCGAACTTATACAGACTTGGAAATAGTAACATATATTTTACAAGTCACGATGAAGCTCGAGGCTTAACATTTGTAATAAAAATCACGTAAACTGCAGGTATTTATTATCATTATTATTACATATTTATGTTAATTCGCTCACTTATGATTCAAAATTAGAGTCGGATAAATAGCACTTCAAATCTAATCTTTTGTCTTTTGAATTTTGAAAATTTTTGTTTGTGTTCTCGACGAAGAAGCTAGAATATAACAGAAATTAGCTAGTAAGGAAAGTTGTTATATCAGCTAGCGTTTATTGTGACCTTAATCCTATCGGTGAACATTAATTAAGTAGAACGCTTTTGTTGTAGTAAAGTGGACTATATTTTGCATTTTTTTTACGTATTATCCAAAACAACACAGCCAACAATAGAAACCATTACAACCGTTAATTAATGAATTCTGTACATTATCACTAACAACTGACTTATATGATCATCTTGATGATATAATTGCATTGCAAAAGTTGGAGCTTCAATATGTGAAAGTTGTCAAATAACGAGATTGCATGGGAACATTTCATACTTGGATGTTTAAAACGATGTTACGTCTGTATAAGACGTTGTGAACAGTGAATATAAATCTTTTGAAAGCCCATATTATGAATCAAAGTGTTACATGCGTTGGAACAAACTTATCGTCATATTACAAATGTTGACGAAACAGTGCAACACATACCTTATAACATAATAAACCTACTACAGACGTGTTCCAAAGAACATTAGATGACTTTAAAATGTACTAATGTGTTGCACCTTACCTTACAGCATAGTATGTCTGCTCTAACACATCTTTTTGATATATTTTAAAACAATATATGACAAAAAATTTATTTGAGCAGACATCTATGATGTAATTCCTTTAATTTACTACAAATGCATTTTCAAAAAACAAAGAGCTACATTTGTTGTGGAGTTGTCATGGCCTGGTGGTTAAGGCGCTCAACTCGAAATCTGAGAATTGCTGTTCGAATTTCCGTCACCAAACATGCTTGCCCTTTCAGCCGTGGGGACGTTATAATGTTATGGTCAATCCCACTATCATTTAATAAAAGAGTAGCCATATTTAATATGTATGAAATATTATACATTATAATAATAATAGTATCCATGGTATAAACAGATAATCAGATTTTACCGATGCCTACTAGACTTATTGTTAAAGTAACTATTGTTAGTAAGTTAGCTGTCTGAAAAATGTCTGAGTTAGCAGCGGGTAATGTTGACTAGCTGCCTTTCATCTCGTCTATCACTGCTAAATTATGGACAACTAGTTCGTGTAGCTTTGCGCGAAGTTCATACCAAATATCTGTTGTACTGGGCGCGGATTTCAGAGCTAACGAGTTTTTTAGTCGTGGGTGACTAGTATAATAACGTGGAATTCAAAAACAAAAACTTTCTGGGCAGTAGTCCAATACTCGTGATGGCGGCAAATAGCCTTATTAGCTTTGCCATAAATACCAAATATATTTATTGGAGCAGCCTTACACACACACATTACACTTATTACAGCAGATTTACCATAGAGCATTGCATTAGATACAAATGCATAGGGACTATGTTTGGCGACTTGACCGGTTTGTCTTCGTATCGAATAGCATAAATACTTGTTTCATTCACCGTCTATTTGAGGTATGCGATGGTTGAACTGATAAGTCGTGGAAGCAGCTTGTGTACGTGAGACTTTTGTCGTCTTTCCATCTAGAGATCCTTCTTGATTATGTTGTGCAATGTTGCCTGGGGCACATGGACAACTTTAGTTACTTTTCTTTATATATTTTCGTGGATTCTCACATATTAAAAGTGCTGCACTTTGGGTATCACGGCTGAAGTACAACTTATTGCGGATCTCTTTCTGGATGTCTTTTCTGGCCCAAATTGATTCATATTCCTATTCCTTTGTTTTATAAAACTATTAAGTACAAGAGATATCACCGTTTTGAAAATCATAAATCTACAATTTCTATACAACTGTGTGATCTGAAGGTATGCATATTTTGCTCAGAAAGGGCTGTTAAATATCCTTCCATAAAAAGTGACCAACTTTCAGTAGCACATCACTATCTAAGATTGCTAGTCAATGTCAAAATGTAGTTCTGATACCTTCTGTTCCACCGCAACTTTATATTGACTGTGATCGTCACCAGACTTGTTGATTTGCATATTCAAAAGAGTTTTAACGTAAGGTATTCAACCATCTGCAAAAAATGTAATGTGTAACATAGCGGTATTTTAAACCAGATTTTAATCTAATGTATAAAGCAAAGTTTGTGTCTGTTTGTTCGCACCTTTCAGCCATCTGTTCCTTATACGTTTCCACATTTCTTGATAAATCAGCACCAAATTTGACACAGTGATACAGGATGACATGAGGAAGGTCAAGGGGGGTTGAACCACCTAACTAATTTAATATTGATTAAATCTTGAAAACAGTAGTCTTTTACAATTATGCCCAAACAAGAAAGCGACATAGAAAGGCATGGTAAGAATTTCCTTATTTAAAACTGGATTTCTCGCTTATTACGCCCACAAAAGAAAGGGAGAATGCTGTTAAAAGTAAGCCCCATAATGCTGAACATCTGTTAAGTTTAATGACTGAAAACAACTACTTTTGCTGATTGCTCATCATAAAATGACTAAAGCTATTGTGAGTAAGCAGTAGTATTGTACTGTTACTAAATGACATGTTTATCACAAATACTAACTGCAAACGTTTATTTCTTGACATAATAATCGAAGAAATACAGTGTGATAATGTTTCAAAAGCGTGGTAATAATAATAATACTTAATGACTTGGAATTCATAATATAAAAATATAGAGAGATACACAGAAAAACAACAGCGATTGAGATCTCATAGTAAGAGGTGAAGTACGGATTGATATTTTAACATCTTACGGACATATTGTTGAATTATAATGTGATATACTTAACGACCGTAATTAGCATACTGTAATACAGGTAAATATATAAATATAAACCAAAATTGCAAACAGCCAGACATACATTTATACTTGTGTTAAAATTAGGTAAAAAAAACAAAGGTATGATATCTACTTTACCCTCCACCAGACACTTTTCGAACTAATCCTGTTATGGCACGTTTCAATGTCATAGGTACAGGCATTGGAACAAATCATGTGTTGTTGTAACACTTTCATCGCCTTGTGTCTCAGCCAGACTGGCAGCAACACTGTAAAAATACCAGAACTGCATCGGGAGCTGAAAGCAGTAATTTTGATGGAAGCCATATATATCTCTTTTGTGTTGTTATGCATTTGTCTATTTCCTACTGGCGATGATATATCAGACTGGCATGTTACTTCGGTTCGGAGGTAGGCCTGAAAGCTAACAGGCTGCAGGTGCTGCTCAAAGGAGTCCATGTTAGAGGCAGTTTTTCATTTGAGAAAAACTCATACTGCTCTTTTTCAAGAGAGTTGCAAATTTTTCACTGTACACCAAAGAAACTAATGTCACACAAGCTGTTTCTGCTTCTTTGTCCACCTAAGAGGCACTACAACCAAGATGTATGATCCCTTGTCCACCTGAGAGATACTACAACCAAGATGTATGATCTCTTGTCCACCTGAGAAATACTACAACCAAGATGTATGATCCCTTGTCTCGAACTGAGAGACACTACAACCAAGATGTATGATCCCTTGTGTCGATCTTAAAGACACTACAACCAAGATGTATAATCCCTTGTGCCAATCTGAGAGACACTATAGCCAAGATGTATGATCCCTTGTAGTAGCTCTGGATAAGTTACTACCATTTTCATCCGTCTTTGTTTCCAATTCCACTAAAAGAAATCACAAGAGTCATACCAACGGAAAAAAATGGAGATGTGCCTTTTCCAATGTGAGTAACAACTTTGTAAATGGGAATGAACCTCTTCTTGTGGCCACTTCCAGTGATGGTTTAGTGTTGTCAGCTATTTTTCAATTCTAAGAAACAGGTTGGCTATTATCCATTATTAATTAATATATGTAACTTAACAAGTGACGAGAATTATATGGCAACAGTTACTCAACGTTATCACAACAGTGTTATGTAATACTTGGTTTAAGCATATCATGCATTGTATCTTACGTACAAACAATATTTAATGAAATCCTCTGCTAAAATTTGTATTTCCAGTATCATGTTTTCATGCATTTAGGATTTAGCCTTTTTATCGTACTTTCTTAAGAATACTAAAGTATGCCTGGTATGTGTTTAAAACCCCACTTGATCATTTAGATCACAATTATTTTTACCAAGTTCAAGGTCATCTACACATAACACAACATGAATTCTGTGATTTTGTCACAGGGGCACCTTACGGCACACAAAGGAAAGGATACTGCGAGATGATATTTTCTGGACATAAAAAATTCTTCCTTTCTTAAACCGTTTTTTTTTTTGGAACTGCCTTCTTCCAGAACTGGTTGACCCCCGACTTCCACGTAATATGGAGATACGAGACCCACAATACATTCGACAAGTGAAAACCACCATCAAAAGACAGGGGGAAAATAATGAATAAAAACTTGTTTTTGTCATAAATAACGCTTTTAGGAGTTATATAATTTACATAAATAAAATAATTGTTTGTTAACAGATCCATACCCTTGTGTAGATGTGTTTGTTTTGGAATTTCGCGCAAAGCTACACGAGGGCCATCTGCGCTAGCCGTCCCTAATTTAGCAGTGTAAGACTAGAGGGAAGGCAGCTAGTCATCACCACCCAC